CCGGGCATAATGGGAGGGGCCATGGCTATGCATACAGAAGAGGAACTATCTCTGCCAGCCATGAAGATTTGGGCCACCTGTGTGCTATCAAAATCAGAGTCAGGCTCTGCTCTTTCACCCTGACCAGAGTAGGAGATATCAGGCAAAGCAGAGGAAAAGCGTAGAGCAGCACATTGGGCCATGGGTAGGTCCTAGAAAGTAGGTCCTTCCTCAGAGGAATGCGCCAGGTGGGGCTGTCACAAGGAGCATGAGTTCCGAAAACCAGGTCTGGGTGGGCCAATACGGCGCAACCGGCAAGACCTGTCCCTCGTCCTCGCTGACTTTGGAGGACTTATGGGAGGCAACCAGGTTTACCTGAGCTTCCCCGAATCGACTCCAGAACAGCCGGACCGTCTCAGGATGGAGTCGCCATTCTCCGGGGAACGTGAGCTGTCGTGAGAGCACTTTGGCTGCACGATTGAGCTCCCCCAGGATGTGGACGGCATGCATCGACTTGCACCGCGTCTGACTCCAGAGGAGGAGATGGCAGGCGAGTTGTGACATGCGACGTGATCGTAGACAACCCTGCCAGTTGATGTACGAAACGGTCGCAGTGTTGTCCGTGAGGACCAACACGTGCTTGCCAAGCAGCAGCGGCCGGAACCGCCGCAAGGCTAGTAGCACTGCCAGCAACTCGAGGCAGTTGATGTGCCAAAGCAGTCGAGGCCCTGTCCAGAACCCAGAGGCTCCCTGTCCATTGCATGTAGTGCACCAGCCCGCACTGGAGGCATCTATCGTTACAACAACATGCCAAGACACTTGTTTTAAGGGCACCCCGACCCGTAGAAAGACGAGGTCCATCCAGGGGCTGAATGAGCGGCCACGTGTTGGCGTGATGGTCATGCGAACTGTACCACGGCACCATGCCCATCTCGGGACTCGGGACTGTAACAATTGCTGAAGTGGTCTCATATGAAGCAATCCGAGCTGCGTGACTGCGGCTGCGGATGCCATATGCCCGGGGGGGGCGCCGGGCGAACTGAATCGCTTTGCCGAGTCAGACTGTCCAAATGAGCCAGCGGGACAGGTTGGGCAGCGTGAGCCACGCCCTCAAACTCCGTGCGAGTGGCACCAGAGGGACAACCGACATACCCACAGTGGTGCAGCAGTGGGAAGTCGTGCTAGACGGCCCAGAAACCACCACGTTCTGGCTCGTCACGTCAGGGCTCCCCATGTCCCCGAAGGGACTGACCAGAGATGCGTGGGAAGGCATTGCATCCCCGAACCGCAATCTCTTGGCCGCTGGCAATAGGGGACGTCATGGGCGAGAGTGAGGAGGCCGTGCGTCGCTCACTGTTAACCCACGAGCCTGATGGCCCAGAGGAAAAGGAAACTGCTCTTTCTTTGAGAATGTGGTTACCGCTGGCACTTGGGCCAATACCGGAACAGAACAATTAAACAAAAGATTCCTCACCCGGCCCTCCAACGGGGAAGGAGTGGCACTCTCCTTGCCATCTTTGGAAGAAAAGCAGTTCCTCGCATCTCTGGGCTGTCTGTGTCAGGGCCGCCTCGTCATTTTCCTGGAGGACTTAGGGGCCGGCTGACACGGGGGGGAGGGTGCCGCGCTCCCGTGCAAGGCTCGACACGACCGGGCTCTACATGGTCTCAGCACGGGGTGGAGCAGCCGCAGGAGAGCGCCCTTGGTGACGGGTAGGCTGAGGCGTGGCCCATAGCGGAACGGTGGCAGGTGGAGGATCACGCCGGGGCCGGATGTGCTGGATAGCCTCAGTCTGCCTTTGTACTGCCGAAACTGCTGGGCGAAGTCCTCGACAGTGTCGTCGAATAGCCCAGCCTGGGAGATAGGAGCGTCAAGAAAAGCGCACTTTGTTGACGTTACTCATCTCAACAAGGCTGAGCCATAGATGGCGCTCTAGGGTCACAAGAGTGGACACCGCCTTCCTGAGGGACCGCGTTGTGACCTTCGTCGACCGGAGAGCAAAGTCGGTCACCGAGCGCAGCTCCTGCATCAACCCCGGGTCGGTACTACCCTCGTGCATTTGTTTGAGTGCCTTGGCTCGGTGGACCTGCAGGGTTGCCATGGCATGCAGGGCAGAGGTGGCTTGGCCCACAGCACTGTAAGCTTTGGGGTGAGAGCCACAGTCAGCTTACAGGCTTTGGACGGGAGACGAGGACGATTCCTCCCAAGTGGCGGCGTTTGGTGGGCACAGGTGCACCGCAACCGCACTCTCCACCTGGGGAATGTCAACATACCCCCTAGCCACCCTGCCTTCAAGGGTAGTGAGGATGAAAGAGGCGGACGAGCGGCTTCCAGATGAAAAAAGGGCCGTCCACGACTTCATCAGCTCCTCACGCACCTCCAGGAAGAAAGGAACCGGGGCAGGGCGTGAACATAAAACATACAAAACATAAAACACATACACAACGTTTTTCTTTGATATTTTGTCTAAAGGTTAAAAACAATTTTCATTCAAAAAAAAGAAAAAGATTTTTCTGACTTTTTTCTGAAAAATGATATAACAAAAATCTTTAAACATAAGTGATTTTGAAAATACAATATAACAGTACACAAAATGGTTAAATTAATCAAATGTTTCAAACAGGTTAAAGTGCAAAAGTACACAGCTATATTGTTAAATAATATAAAATATATTTTCTGGCATGTTTTAGTGTGAAATGTGAATATGTTTAAGTAAAACTAAATGTTTGAAAATAAATGCTAAGTATTTAAGTATTTAGTGTTGTTCAATAAACACCATAGTGAATACAAAAAACTGAATGGCTGTTTGAAAACACGTAAATACTGTTTGACTTCCTTTCTTCTCTGTGAAGAAACAGAAAGTGCAGTCTATTTTGTTTATGTGGGCTTTCGGGGAAACGGCTACTGTCAGAAAGTGAACTGCATTTTTATTCAGTCTGTCTCCTTCACTCACAGCGGTTGACTGACTGTCTGGGAGTGACACATTCATTGCTGAAGCAACAGTGCAAGTGCACATGCGTAACTGTGCCCTCTGGGTGAAAGTACAAATAATTTTTCTTCCTCTGTCTGTCTTTCTCTTTCTAGTCTAAATGATTGTGGCATTACAGATGTTGCTTGTTTGGCTCAGTCTTTGGCTGAAACAAAAGTACTGCTGTTTTTAAAAGAGCTTGATCTGAGTAACAATAAAATAGGAGACTCAAAGCAGCAGCTCATTGATGTGCTGCAAGACTCAAACTGTGAACTGAAGTGAGTAAACATTCTTTTATTGCAGTCACGCTAACACATTTACATTTACATTTAGTCATTTAGCAGACGCTTTTATCCAAAGCGACTTACAAATGAGAACAATCGAAGCAATCAAAATCAACAAAAGAGCAATGATATACAAGTGCTATAACAAGTCTCAGTTAGCTTAACGCAGTACACGTAGCAAGGGTTTTTAAATAATATAATAAATAAAAAGAAAACAGATAAAAGAATAGAGCAAGCCAGTGTTAGAGGTCTTTTTGCTTTTGTTAATTGTATAATAAATGAAAAGAAAACAGATAGAACACAAAAAAATTAGAAAGCTAGGGTTAGTTTTTTTTTTAAAGAATAGAATTAGAATAGAGAGTGCTAGAGTTAGAGGGTCAAATAAAGATGGAAGAGATGTGTTTTTAGTGTTTTTTTTTAGTGTTCTTGAAGATGGCTAAGGACTCAGCTGCTTGTATTGAGTTGGGCAGGTCATTCCACCAGGAGGGAACATTAAATTTAAAAGTCCGTAAAAGTGATTTTGTGCATCTTTGGGATGGCACAATCAAGCGATGTTCCCTTGCAGAACGCAAGCTTCTAGAGGGCACATAATTCTGAAGTAATTCACAAATTAGTAACACAAACAAACAAACATCATGTAAATTGTTTTAAATGTATTATATTTCAAACAAATATTGTTTTAAAATCTGTGTGTCAAATAGTTTAAAATCAGTAACTAAACTGATTACAGAAATGTAATCTTTGTTACAGTCTACTTTGTACTCAAAGTAATTGAAATATAGTAATTATTTCAAACTTGTTCCACTCAACACTGTTGTTCTCTTCTGATTCCTCTTTACAGCCTGGAGAAAGAACATTTGCTCAGCTGGAGAGCTGGTGTGAACTACATTGGTAGCTTTGGTGGGTGGTTAACATCCTGGTCTAAAGCTCAGGAGGATCCTGTGGAATCAACAGAACAAGAAAAGGTCACCGTTAGATGAGGAATTCTCAGAATAAATCAATATGTGTGGTGGTAATTTGGCCGAGATATTGCTAAACTGCAATTAAGAAATACAAAAATGCCAAACTTACAGCTACTACAACTTCAAATAACTGCTTAACAAATCGAAAGTTTACTGGTGGAAAAGGCTCAGACCTTCAAATGAAATAATGCAGTATTAATAGAAGCATGCGAGTAATGTTATTTACTCTAGTATTGTTAGTTTAGTATTCAGTTTAAGGTCTACATCATAATGATGGTGGCTGGGTTTATTTGAGAGATGAAGAAGTGTATCAGGACTGGATCAAATGCTTTGATGAGCCTGTTGGTTATCTAGGTGCTGCACCCTTAGACTTTCTGTCCCTCTTTCTGACTGCTGACTTCTGGAACCTCATTACAAATGAAACCAACAGATATGCTCATCAGTTTCTAAACTCCCAACAGCTGAAACCCAATTCCAGATTTCCTGAATATTTCCTGAATATTAGTGATGAACTGATCAAAAAGTAGGCTACTGTTCACATGCGTTTTACTACTATATAGTATAGTAATATAGTAATAATTTAGTACTTTCTCCTGTTTTATTCTTGGTTTCCTCTTTTCTGATTATTTGGAATGAGGATAAAAAGACAAAAAAAAAAACATGCAAATAAGTTCAAACATCCATTCAATATCTATTATTTCCTGAATATTATGAAATTCAAGATGGCCGCCCCTGATGACGTCATAATATGCAAATTAGATGAGTATATTTAGACCCCACATAAACTTTCGGTCATGCCCAACGTTTTTCTAATTTACAGTAGATCTCTATCTTTAAGCCCTTTCAAGCCACAAGCTTTTGAAATCTTGAGGTCAAAATCCAGCATTTTTCCAAAAATCCCTGGCGCCCAAAGGGTTAAACTCATCCATAATGAAGCAATTAAAAAATTGCTCATAACTGTGATATCAAATGATACAAACTGAAAGTCTAAAATGAAAATGTAATTATTGTGAGCTACATTTACACAGATTCACAGATTCAGTCCTATCAATATGTTATTTTTTATCTCTTATAACAATTTGTTTGACCAAATTTTACATTTGTTTTGCATATATTTTATTTTTCTTACATTTTATATACAAAATATATTTATTTAAATTTGTATTAAGTTCTGTATCCTTCTGTCTCATAATGAACAAATAGCCTATGTCTGTACATAAGACAATGCTTTGACTGACTAAAGATGGAGTCTGTTCACTACATCAACCCAGACTAAGTAATCTTTAGTATTGCCAGTTGACAGCATTTATGTACCCAAAATCCCCCATATTTGAAGTTGTTGCTTTCACAGTCAGTAGTCTGGATAGTATAATGCTTTTTGTTTAACCGTTATCATCTTCCTTTTTGCCATTGTTTTGTATTGTACTGGATTATGTATTGGCATATTGTAAATGTAGGATCATATATACCGTACTTTTATTTTCAGTCTTTATTCTTCTCATACTGTGTAATAGTTTTATATGCAAGGCTGAACTACCTCCTATGTTTCTGTTAAGAACTGACCAACAAGTACATGTTGCAACCAGGAACTGGGAAGTATGCTAATGCTTGAGCAAACAGAGAGAGAGATATATGTAGTAGTGATTTCTGTGTTCTGGGCCACTTCTTATCTGACACTTGACTAGTAAGTGACATTAATAAAATACTATTTATCTCCACCCCAGACTCATTGTCTCTTCTTTCCTGATCCAACAAACTGCATGTTATGGCTGGGGGAATGCCCATTATTTAAATGTGGTGTTTGGCCAAACCATAGAAAATTAGGAGGATGTGTTAAGTTAGTGCCTTAAGGTTTTTCTTTTTCTTTTTTTTTTTTTGTGCATGTTTATAGTGCTTAAGTATAATCTCTCTATTTTCATTAAACAGAAAGGAAGTTTACAAGGGGAAATATTCTGCATCAAATGTTCCTCCTCAGGACTGAGTGTTGATCACAGAGGCTTCACGACCGAAGTTAACATTGTAAGTCTCTCAGTTTGTTCTGTTTGAAATGTTAAATTGCTTTTACTAAATTATAGTGATGGCAAAATGAACATTTCTTTAGTCAAGAATACAATTATCTATTTTGTTCATTTACATTTCACACCTGTTCTTTATTTAAAATGAAAGTATTAAAACAGTCAAATGTTATAAAATGTTGATTATATAAATATATTTTAGAATATAATTGAATAAACAAATGTGCACAGAATATGTATTATGTAAATAGTCTTAAATCACATCTACATACACATTCTGGAGAAAGACAATGCTAGGTGAAAGAAGCAGTACAAGTCGACCAGGATATGAACAGAGCTTAACGCACAGAAAATTCCAATCTTCAGCCAAAAAAGCCAGAGATGCTGTCAATGTGGCACCATGCCTAGTTTCAAATAAAGGGACAGTTGTGGAGACAGCACACATTAGAGATTCTCAACAGAAGGAACCCTTCCAGCATTGTCAGTTTAGGCAGTTAACCCAAGATAAATGGGTCCAAAAACGAGTACATTCCGTCTATCACATGGAAATTCGTGAGGAGAGGAAAACATGGTTACACCACAAACTAAAATAAATTATTTCAAAACGGTTGAGTGAAGATCTATGGCAGGTAAAATAAGTATTGAACACATCACCATTTTTCTCAGTAAATATATTTCTAAAGGTGCTGTTGACATGAAATTTACTCCAGATGTTGGTAAAAATCCAAGTAATCCATACATACAAAGAAAGCAAAACAAATAAGTTCAGAAATTAAGTTCTGTGTAATGAAGTGGAATGACACAGGGAAAAAGTATTGAACACATGAAGATAGGGAGGTGCAAAAAGGCATGGAAAGCCAAGACACCAGCTGAAATCTATCAGTAAACATTTCATGATGGGGAAAAGCAAAGAGCTCTCTCAAGACCCTCGCAACCTTATTTTTGCAAAACATACTGATGACATTGGTTACAGGAGGATTTCTATACTTCTGAATGTTCCAATGAGCACTGTAGGGGCCATAATCCGGAAGTGGAAAGAAAATGAGAAACCCTCAATCCCAACAAAGGCTTTTGTACGAAATATTAAATACATTTCAGTAAGCGTGTTCAATACTTTTTCCCTGGGTCATTCTATTTTATTACACAGAACTTTAATTTCTGAACTTATTTGTTTTGTTTTCTTTGTATGTATGGATTACTTGGGTTGTTACCGACATCTGGTGAAATTTTCATGTCAACAGCACCTTTAGAAATATATTTACTGAGAAAAATGGTGACGTGTTCAATACTTATTTTACCCGCTGTAAGTGAAGTGAGTACAGATCCGTTATTGTCTGAAGACTGAAAGATATATGATGAGGCTAATTTATAACACTGTTAACTGTTAAAATATATTTTATTAATATAGGCATGCACATTGGTTGGCATCAGAGATGTGGATGTTAAACTTACAATGATGCATTTTTTTATAAGCTACTTTGTATACTGCATGTTAAAGCTCATTTCATTGGTGTGAATAGCTGAAGCAAACCACACCATCACCATAAATATCTTTATTATAGTCTGATAAACCATGGTTCATGTAAAAACAACCTAAAACTAAGAACCAGTGAACAAAAGCTCTACCACTTTGACGTACAAGATGTGCAGATGTGCGTCATGTAGCTTTGTAACTAGCTTCTGCTTTGATTCTCTTCTCCTTCTGTTGCTCTTGCAAGCCAATAAAGAGAGAAATCTCATTTTTTACTTTTATTTAATTTTTATATTTGTTCACAGACTAATCATTGACTGAACTTGTAACTCATTTTATCATCGATTTTTATTGTAGGACAAGGAAAAAATATGAGACAGGTGGAAAACCATATTTTGAGTTTGCTTGCAATTTTGATTTCCCCCAAGAAATTTTTACTTTTTTGACTCCCTATACATACATTAGCCACCAATTTACCAATAAACTCAATGCTTTTCATTAACAAACCCAAGTATGTGAGGTATTTTACCCATGGCACTAACATATTTTTTTGTTTGTCTGTTTGTTTTTTTACATAATCCACAATTCACAAACCCAAATTATGGATAAGTAAATATTCCAAATGTGTATTTTTAAAAATGGTCTTTTATTACATAAAGGATTCACTCAAATAAATATTTGAAATTATTTATTTGGAGAAAAAGAGACAAAATTTTTTGTTTCCCTTTGAAGCACTTTGTATAGCTGTTTTTGAGCACAACATAAATAAGGCATAGGCCTAATTTGTGAATATTTCTTGCATCATAGATATCGCTTGGTAGCCTTCAGGTGTGTCCAGTCAAGTAATATAATAAATATTTATGATAAATCATGTTTTCACAATAGTAAATTTAACACAGACTTCCTCAAAATTAACCTCAATTTTAGCCTGAATTTTCTCCACAGATGTGATTTGAGCATGGCAATCAATGCCACCTCTCACAAACATGGCTTAGATTTGTCAGCCTGTTGAAAAAAACAGCATATGCTGGTTAGGTATGTTTTGACGCTGGGATGCTGGTTTAAGCTCGTCCTTTGCTGGTTTAAACTGGTCCTTTGCTGGTTTAAGCCAAAGGACCAGCTTAAACCAGCATCCCAGCGTCAAAACATACCTAACCAGCATATGCTGGTTTTTTCAACAGGGGGGTCACAGCTATTCAGGATCTTAAAGGGTTACTCCACCCCAAAATTACAATTTTGTCATTAATCACTTACCCCCATGTCGTTCCAAACCCGTAAAAGCTTTGTTCGTCCTCGGAACACAATTTAAGATATTTTGGATGAAAAGGCTTTTGACTGTCCCATTGACTGCCAAGTAATCAACACTGTCAAGGCCCCCCAAAAAAGTATGAAACACATCGTCAAAATAGTCCATCTGCCATCCGTTGTTCAATCTGAATTTTATGAAGCGGCGAGAATACTTTTTGTACGCAAAGAAAATAAAAATAACAACTTTATTCAACAATTTGTCTCCTCTCTGTCTCTCCGCGTCGCCGTAGCGCCATTTTGGAGAATATCCGCTGCACACAAACTGCGTACTCGCTTCTGTGTCAGCCACGCCGCACGGATACGTTTTCTACATTTTCTTAGGATATAGCGCCATTTGTGCGTCTTTTCTGGCGTCTGCTGACTGATATAAACAATTGGGAGTAACCCACGTGAAAAATACTATAGTAATTTATAGTAAATACTATAGTGTTTTTTAACCATACTATAGTAAAGTACTTGAATTCATTTGTTGTGGTAATTCTATAGTTGCTGTGGTAATATAACAACTATAGTAATATAAACAAATTACTTTACCCAATACTGTACTAAGTTTTCTACAACTATAGGGTATATTATACTACAATACACTAGTTTAGTAAAAACTAAAGTATACTACAATATTTATTACAATTTATTACTATAGTTAATACTACAGTATGTTGTAGCATTCATTAACATAGTGTTGTAAATACTATAATATATACAGTGTAATACATTAGTATGGTTCAAAAACACTATAGTATTTATTATAAATTACTATAGTATTAAGACCTGCAG